CCTGGTTTATTAATAGTTTTAAAAGACACGTAATACTATTGTAGGGACAATATTTTGTGTTACCAGAAAGATGTTTTTATTTTTACGCAGGTAAACTTATCCCGAATTTTCCGTACCCATTATTAACCTTTTTTTTTTGGTTAAAAACGCATACAAACTAATTACTACATTTTGTTATTACTAGAATTTATGTTTTGTTAGTTTTATAAGAAGTTTGTGTTTTTTAAATAAAATAATCAAAAGTGGATCGATCATATTTAATATTAACATTTCCATTTGCCTAAAATGGGCTTAGGTAAAGGCTTAGGCAAATGGTATTTAACTGGTGAAATACCATTTGCCTAGTCGAATGGCATTTCAAAACTAAAAAGAACCTTTTGCCCAGGCAGATTCATTTGCCAGGGAAAATGCAATTTGCCTGAACTAACTATTTGCCTACGGCATATACATTCTCATTTTTTATCGTGTTTCTTAATTACTACCAAAACCCGCACTTGCTGCTTCAAATTTTTCGCAAAAAAATAAAGTTTGTGACGAATTTCGAAAGTGTATACTATCTGTCATCGAATGATATAAACAAACAGTGTAGAATTTGAGGAATTTCAGCCAAAAAGAGTAATTACAGTTATTTGTATTTGTAAGGTGCGCTTGCATGTGTGCGAGAAAAAGTGATAAATTATTCCGCTATGGAGGGTTGCTTTTTTATGTAGGTACGTACTCATTTTCTGCTAATTATTAAATTGGAAATTGTATTATTATTTTTAAACTGTAGGTACGTATTGTTTCCAAATTTACAGGTCTTTATTATAGATTCGCGCGCTAGAGATTGTAGGTTCATTAACGTTTTATCACAAAAATTCTTGGAACTTTGATGATTTCCTTATTCTAATAAAAAATGCAGTTTATGTTCATATCGCTTATTTTAGCGGAATCAGTTTTAAACGAATCCTAATTTTAAAGATTCGGTTAGCTCACGCTCCCCAGTCGTAATGAAGCGATCAGTACGGATGATGAACAATCGATACTGTTTGGAAAAATTTCATTCAGCTATACACTGAGCAGAAATTGTAATAATAAATTAAACAAATATACCAAACGAGCTCCTGGGTATGGCTATAGCATGTGCACAACCAAATTTTAAACCTGATGTTAGTTTTGCTTTTATTTAAAGTGTATATGTATGAAATATCATTTAATTGCTTCCATAAATAGGAAAGTTGATACTGCACATCCTACACAAAACCAAATTTGGAAAAGAGCGCTACATTTTCTTTTATTCCAAGTGGCTATGTATCAAATTTCATTTAGTTCCCTCCATAAATAAGAAAGTTGACACTGCGCATGCGCAAAACCAAATGTTGAAACTGGCGTTAATCGATTAGGCTCAACTTTGTTTTATATGACTAAAGCTATGCGCTTGCGCAAATTGAATTTGATGCAATTTGTTTCATAACTACGGGGATGTCAAAAGGGCCTACATTATTTTTTGGTCTAATTGGAAAATAAGCGAACGCCAGCACATTTTTGAAAATGACATTTTTCAGTTTTTTGGCCATAACTCTATTTGTAGAGCTACAAGAAACTAAGAGAGGAAAAATTAATCAGCATAAAATTCTGCATAACTTTGCTCGTAGGCGACTTTGTATCTTTCACTGTTTATGAGATTCCTATAGTGAAAATGAAAAAAAAACACCCTGTATATAAATTATGGTTCTTGACTTTCGTTTATTGATGGAAAAGAAATTTCCAAAAAAAATATTCTTGGAAATTCAGAATATTCCCCAAGGGAAAATTCTGTCCTAAATTGTTATGCGTAATTCGCGCCTTCTCACTGGTTTTTCTTGTGCACGTGAAAATTGGTAATAGGGTTCTTAAAAATCTCCTTCCGCTCAGCCGATCAACTGTAGGTTGATTTCTTAAGGTGTCCGCCATTTTGTTTCAATATGGTCGAATTAGCTGATTCACAAACTCGACTGAGATATTTATGAGTTACACCAACCATTAAAGTTTGGTCGAAATCGGTTTATACAATAGAAAAAGTGTATCGGGCCGGATAATGGAAGCAAGAGTAGGATGGAAAATACACTTATTGGTCATGAATAATTCTAGTCTTGTTCTTTGTTGTTATATAAGTAATTTCTTTAGACTGTGTACTGTCAATGTCTAACCCTCCGTCCTACATGAGTGACAAAAACCGAGCGAACGAAGCGGCCAACGGGGCAATATCAAGTTATTCATAGTGACTTTTTTTACTTTGGAGTTGGAGAATTATGTTTTGGTCTAATCATTGTCAAGGATTACTGTTAATAATACGTTTTTTAAAATACAGGGTGATTCCTATAGTACCTGCCACCGTTTGGGAGCGTGTAGGTGGTGCGTAGGGGAGTATTTTGATATAGGACACTTGGGGTCGGAAATCTAAAATAAGGGTGCCAGAGCCAAATTTACCTTCTGGAATTTCGCGCCTGTAGGTAGGCAACCCAACCGGCCGGCGGTGCACACGGAGCGATCTCAGGCGGCGATGTGTGGCTGACACTTGATCAGAATTTTGTTTAAACCCACGAAATCCCGTCTGCAACGACGCGTATCAAGTGAATAAACACTATGGCAATAGTATAATAATAGTTGGCTAGATGTAGGAAGTGCATTGAGAACAACGGTGGCCACGTTGAACAATTGTAAACGTTATTGCTTTTGACTGTCGTTTTCCCTCCTTCCCTCCCATGTCGCTTCCTCGCGCTAACTCGCTCTGCATCGCTCCGCGCGAAACGTCGGTCGGTTGGGTTGCCTACATACAGGCGTGAAATTCCAGAAGATAAATTTGGTTCTGGCGCCCTTATTTTAGATTTCCGACCCCAAGTGTCCTATATCAAAATACTCCCCTAGGCACCCCCTATACGCTCCCAAACGGTGGCAGGTACTATAGGAATCACCCTGTATATCTGATGTTCGAAGGCAAAAATGATAAAGGAAACTAATGAACGTAATTTATTTGGAAAGAACAACAATAGGTGGATTTCGTCTTATATGGAGAGCTATGGAAACCGAGGAATATAGGTACATTATTCTATGGATATGCAAGAAATTCGACCAGTCAAATAATTTGAACGCTTACGCCGTTTCAAAATTCGCCGTATCGGCGCGCACTTCACTCAACATCGCCGACGTAGGACATGTTCATAATTTTTTAATTGATAAATACTCTTCGGTCGCGTCGCTCTCATCGCGTGCTTCTATCGCTCCCGTAGGACGGGGGGTAAGAAGTAATGAGGCAGGCTTACCAATGATGTGTTTCAAGTAGTAGATTGCAATTTGAAATTTTGGAATGAATGGTGGGAGAGGTAAGAATATTCTTGCACCTTCAAATTGGTTTCCCCTTTGATAGCTTGGTTTGGGAAATTTATTTACCTAGGGGCTCAGAATTGTCTACTTTCTAATACATACATCAATTCCTTAGGTCGCTGTGCTCGAGCAGGTAGAACAGGAACAGCATATTCATTGATTACACCGGACGAATATCCATATATGTTAGATTTGCATTTATTTTTGGGACAATCTCTGTCGATAATAAATTCAAGTAATCCTAAAGGCAATATTGGATGCATTCCTCAAAGTCTAATAGAAGAACAGCATGGTACTATTATAATGCTTCATGATACAAATCCGGATTTAGTAAGTGTACCTATATTTACTTTTATTGCTTATCTTACTCGGATTGTTATTTAGCTTCAAATTAAGCAAACGGCCGATAAAGCGTATACTAAATATCTTCAAACTAGACCTGTGGCTTCAGTGGATAGCAACCGCCGTGCTAAACAATTCTTAACGAATAAGTGTGGCACTCACGCATTTTTCAAAGCTCAAAATAATGATTTGCAAGAAGAACGTGAAAATATTTTGCAACAAATGAAAAACTATCGTCCTCAAGGTGTAAGTTACTCGCAAGTACATACATGTTCTAAACCTAATTGTTACTTAATTACATTGTAGACAGTATTTGAGGTTTGTAGTAAAACAAAATCGCAAGATTATTTGGTTATGAAAGCTACACGAGCATTTCACAAATCCGCCAGAACGGCGTACAAGAAAAATATGGAAAATCAGTCATCAGTTTCAGAAACGAAATTGGTTGCTCTGCCGGAAAGTACAAAAACTGAAATTGAAAGTGTATTTGATGAAATTGTTACTTCCAAAAAGAGAAAGTTAGATTACTTGAATGATATTAAACCCAAAAAACAGAAAGATGAATATTACATCCCCTATTCGGCACCTGACAAATTTACGGAAGATGGGTTAGTCTGCCTAAATATTTACCACTGCATTAAAAATTATATACTATCTATTACAGAATGGCAATAAATAATTTCCAACGGGAAGCATCACAAGCACAATTTGATTTGACAGCCGATACCACCGAAGACATAAAAAGGGCGAAACAACAAATGCGTTGGGATAGGAAGAAGAAAAAAATGGTAGGAGCCAAAAATGTAAGTATAAATTTTGATTTGAATTGCATTGTATTTCACACATGCATGTCATGAATAGGACTTGAAAGTGGGCAAGCTAAAAACCGAAGGCGGAAAATGGATTCCTGCTTCTTATAAAACTTATCGATATGAAGAATGGAAAGAAAAGACTAAAGCTGCTGAAAATGAAGACAATAATGAAGATGATCAATTGAATGATCAAGGAAGATACAACAAACGCTCGCGTTGGGGAAAACATAATGATATGAACAAAAACAAAAAGGCCAAATCAGAGCTGAGGAGTGTCGATCAGATTGTGAAGCAAAGAAAAATTACTGAAAAGAAAAAATTACGCCAGAATAAAAAATTGCGAAAGAAAACAAGAAAGTAATGTCGAGGGCTGTTGTTGTTCTATGTAAAATAAATACATTTTGACAGATTTATGTTCTAGGTACATGTAGTTTTTTGAAGTATGTAAAGCGTTCAACAATTTCTGCCTCTGTTCGGGCAAGAAATGCAGTCGGATCTTTTTTTGACTTCTCAAAAACCCATTATTTTGATGTTGCAACGCTACCAAATAACAGCTATCCTCGCAAATATCTTAGGCCGAGTTTATAGTGAAGCGGCGAGCGCCGAGGATAGCGTAGCAATACGAGGATAGCGGTACATGAGCGATGATAGCGTCGAGGCTGCAAAATTATAGTGGAGCGTGGCTGCTCACTTCTAGGTGAAGGGTATTATCTGCAAAGATGTCGCGGGGAAAGCTTGAAATGAAGTTTATAACTGAAAATAGTTACACAAAATTTGAAATAATTAATAGTTTGTTCTCTCCCGATCATTCGCATCGCGTTCGAAAATGTTCAATACATCCAATCAATAAAGACCGCGAGACTATTGGAGAGTTGCCCGTTTGTACAAAAAGTTAAGGAACCATCCCGATAAATTTCGGCAATATGTTGGTATGTCAATATCGACATTTGGGCATACGCACAAAACTGCATAATCCAGACTCCAGAAGTAAGTGAAAGAGGAACGCGTGTTGTTCGTCGTAAGCATAATAAACGCACGGAAGCGACCGATACTTTCCGAACACTATGTAAACGGCTTACAAATTCAAACATTTTTTTTTCTATCATCACCGCTAGCGGCATCGCGTTTCGCAAAGCTATCTTCACGTTTTCACTATAAACGCCTACATTAGGTTCATTTCGTTTGTTTTCATGGAGGTGAACCTCGATCTAAAACCGCGATGCTATCATCGACGCTGGCCGCTTCACTATAAACTCAGACTTACAGTGTTCACTATTGCCAATTTTCTTAAATAATAATAATGAAATAGTTACAAGTATAATATCGTTAAGTCAAAGTTGATCAATGGTATAATTCAATCATTTGCGGTTTCAAAATATTTTAAAAAAAATTCTTACTCTTAATGTCTCTCCCTTGAATATATTTATTTCGCAATTCGCAAAGTGGGCGCCACTACTGAGTAGCTACCATTCATATTTTGAAGTTCTATGGGCTGGAATATTGTACAAATGTTTGAACCTTGTATTCACGCAATGCAAATCAGATCGCAAAATCAACTGGCTGTAGAAGTAACATTGACTTTTTTTAAGGGTTTGTATTACACCTTTTACTGATGCTGCAGTAAGAATTGGCTGCAGTAGTTTTAGGGGCCAAATATTTTCGAGCGGCCCTGGCAAGATGCAAGGAAATTTGTATTAAATTTCAAAAAATATTTTTTACAAGTACAAATTTAGAATGTTACAATACTTTTGGTTTAGATAAAGGTACAGGAACTTTATCTTAGAGCAAAACGGATAACCATTCACACGTTTGCAGTGAATTTGTTTTTAGATCTAGTTGAAAAGGCCGTATTCTGTGGTTGAACAGTTGGGTGCATCCATAAATAAATTTTGTGCATTTGTTTTAAATAATAATGAGTTGGAGTGGCTATCTGCTCAAATTAACATACATGTAGGCGACATGGTGTAGACTGATGGTCTGTGGGTGAGACGACGAACGCTTCTACAGTGATTAATTAGCTATCAACAATTTAACGCTAAAGCTCGTAGCACAGAATACGGCCTTCTCAGAATAGAAACAGCAATGTTACAAATTTGTATTAAAGTCACTAAATATAAATATATAAATAATGCGAATCTTGCCTTCCATGCTCAGGGTACCTCTATAAAGGATAGCGCTATATGTAATTAATGTGCCGAAAGTGATGGTAATAGATGGTACGTCCTTTTGAACTATGTTGGGGTATGGCTGTATCTATGTATTTATATATCTATGTTTGTATTAAAGTCACTAAATATAGAAAGTACCGCAATCCATTGGGCTCGTGTGTTAGAGAGAGAACGCATGATTTTTGCCCAAAAATGGCGGAAGTTACCAGATTCTAGAAACTTTAATGTTAGGGATTGTTCCACCTGTTTGGAGATATCTGTATATATTTTTATAAAACATGACAGTACTATGAAGTTAGGTTATAAAAAAATGCTATTCAGATTTTATTTGTCAATTTTTTTAAGTTGGCAGCAAATTTGCCCAAAAATGGCGGATGATTGCGGTACTTTCTATATCTAGTGACTTTATTTGTATGGTATTTTGGCGGACCCTGGTGGGTGTACTGTGAACTAAAGCATCAAAATCAGAGTAGCGCCATCTGGTGACCAGCTTCTAAATCCATGAAGTAATTTCCCCAATTCGATCTAAATCACAAATACCTATAGATAAAGAATACACAGTTGTTAAATTGCAAGTATATTTAGATACAATCACATTACATTATTTAACACAGACATCTTAAATTACATGTTTACAAATTACATGTAAAACTCAGAAGTAAGTGCAACTTACGCTTTGTAGAAGTTAACACTTTGCAAAAAGATCCTTACCTACGTAACGAGTTGTCCTACGAAATATTTGGTTTTAATTGCTGTTTGAACTACATATTTTTGTTAAAAAATATCTTTTTTCTATTTCGGTGTCACAATGATGATTTTGTACAACTGTTTTCGGCTGAAAACAGTTGTACAAAGACAGTGATTATAGTCGTTTTTTTTTGGTAACTCATCTCTTAAGTTGGCAGTTACTAGTTAGTACAAGTAGGTACTTCGTTGGGTACTTCCATGTTTGAACTTCAAAATGTCAGTCTTACTCATATATATAAGAGAAGTATATGGATAAACGAGTGGACACGCCTATCGCCAACGTTAGTGGATGGAAATATACTTCTGTCATTAGTTGGGAACTAGGCGCTAATGCGCTTGCCTGTTATTATGTAGTGTTATTTACCAAGCATTTACTCCAGTTTGACATTACGGATTGAGGTTAAATTGTTTGTTTTGTTTATGAGTTATTGAACTTTTGTTTAATTTTAATAGTAAAGAAGCCTTTCGTAGTTATATAAATCAGTATACGTAAGTGATACACAATAATTGTAAAGGAATATCTAATGTTTGGCAATTTTAGTGTGTTCATTACTTAGAAATAAAGAAATGCAGGTACATGTGGGAAAGTGGATTCTTCGGTTTCATGGCACAAGTAAGTTACAATGCAATTATCTGCAATCAATTCATTTATGCCATACTTGTTATTAGATTCCCAAGTGAAAAAAGCAACAAGAATCGGTGACTGCAAGCATGTGAACTATCGGAATTCAATGATGTAAAAACAAGGTTGTGTTCTCATCATTTTAACCGCTATGACTGCATTGATTTGGATGCACGCAAGCATGATGGGGGCACGAAGTTATATGGGGGTCACTTAACACCTAAAAGATTTCCAACTCGACAATGTTAATTTTATTTTAAAATCAGTAAATGTCTTTAATTTAATTGTGTTTCTTTGAACATTGGTAATGTATCACTTTATATTATAGCTGATGCAAACTTATCCAATTTCATGTTATATTCAAGATATAATCCCGATAGGTATATTATTTCAATTGCAATTTAAGTTTCTAAATCGTTACAAAGTTTGCCTTCGAAGTTGAAGGGTGTAACCGTAAACAAACTCCGCTGAGGAAGCTCGAAAGTTCTCCCTGAAAATGCTACAGTTTCCAAGCAGAACGATACGGAGTACCTTGAACCAGAACGCACTGGGTGGCACGTGAGCGCTGATTTGAGTTGGCAGTGAAATCATTCAAGTAGGCCATTGACTGCAGGTCCCGAATCCTTGTGTACCGAAAACAATGTTGAGGGCACAAAAAAGGGAAGATTCAAATTGTCGTCTCTGATCGGTGAAGATGCTAGTAGGGGAATCGAAGCGATATAGTCAACAAGTAAGAAACGCTTCGGCGGCGATTGGTCTTGGGAGGGTGGGTCTCGGCGAGCTAGTATACTTATCTAAAGACATCACAGGATCAGACAATAGTGATTGGAGTCGGCAGGTGGAATGGGGCCAATATGGTGAATATGAACCTGCATGAAGCGAATAGAAGTCTGGGTGAAGTTTCCGAATGGTGCGTGGTTGTGTTTACATATGGTAATTGCACACAATAATGGTTTAATAAAATTTTAACCCTTTTTCGAGTTATAGGTTATGAAATTTGAAATTGGCGCTACTTAAAAGTAGGCGGAGAGAAGTAAATATTTACTTGGGGAGTTTGCGCATAAATACAGAGAGTTCAGGACTAAGGAATAGGGCAGCTCTCTTTTATGGCGAACAATTTGCACATTGCAATCATAGGCGGTTATCCATATACTTCTCTTATATATATGGTCTTACTACGCTGCCAATCTAAAACCATATATATAAGAGAAGTATACTTCTCTTATATATATGGTCTTACTACGCTGCCAATCTAAAACCATATATATAAGAGAAGTATATGGATAACCGCCTATGATTGCAATGTGCAAATTGTTCGCCATAAAAGTAGTCCTCAACTCTGTATTTATGCGCAAACTCCCCAAGTAAATATTTACTTCTCTCCGCCTACTTTTAAGTAGCGCCAATTTCAAATTTCATAACCTATAACTCGAAAATAGGGTTGAAATTTTATTAAACCATCATTGTGTGCAATTACCATATGTAAACACAACCACGCACCATTCGGAAACTTCACCCAGACTTCTATTCGCTTCATGCAGGTTCATATTCACCACATTGGCCCCATTCCGCCTGCCGACTCCTATCACTATTGTCTGATCCTGTGATGTCTTTAGATAAGTATACTAGCTGGCCGAGGCC